GGTGCTCCACAAGATGACCTGCTCTACTCAAATTCTCCAGCACAAATCTCTATCCTACCGCTGGGACCATCATCATCTTACTCTAGTTGGTTTCCACAACTGTCTCCTAGACTGGACCTCAGCGTCATGCCATTGTATGTGATATTTAAGTCATCACCGCTCCTCAAGGCAATATAAAGTACTCATAATTGACCCAACAAAAGTATCCACCATCCCATATCCATCACAAGGACAGTCATATGCTCACCACAAGTCAACCAGGAACAGTGTTTTGGAGAATATTTCATTTTCAAAGATTTTATGGGCAGCAACCTGGTTACAGCCCTTTGTTGCTGGGATAGCAGCCTATTTCCAGGTCTGCTTCTGGGAACAAAGGAGCCAAAAAAGGACATGTCAAAAAGGAAATTGATACTTCTCCTCAGAGGCTGCCTCCCACAGAACTTTTTTCCAAATACATACAGACGAGACAATGCATTTCAGTTGGGACTTCTGTTTTGGGGCAATGTCTGGCAATCCCCATGGATCAGGAACCAAAGAACACAGGGTTCAGGGAGATACATTTTGGATGCGTGTCCTCTCATATCTCATTTTGCAAAGAGGTCTACAGTGTAATTATTGGGTTTCTTGAGCAATATTTGTAATGCTTGAATCTATCCTGCTGTTTGTAATCAGTGAGTTTTCACCTCTTGAGCTTTCAAATTGTTGATGATTTCACAAGTGGAAATTATATCTACTTCTTAGATTGTGTCCCCTCTCAACATGACTGCAGCACTCTGTGTTTGTTTGCATCACCATTCCACATTCCCTGAGCCCTCAGAAGATGTGCAACTAAGGCCATCGTCTGGCATAAGTTGAGTGAAAGGATGCTTTAGGATGTATTCCTGAGCCTGCCCCTCCAGTTTCTCTCATGCTCGACAAAATCCTCTTATCCCTGCAGATAGAGGAAACCCTGAACATCATCAAAAACCAGGCTGAGAGCATCTGAAGGCTATCTTTGCTTCAGTCTCACACATGTCTCAAGAGAAAAGGTACTCATATTGGTTGAGAGTTCAGTTTGGCTCCAGAACTGTGAGTTCACATGCCTCAGTGAGCCAGGGACTTATGTGTGATGGTCATGACTCCCAATCCCAGTCATGCTCTCCCCTATGATGGTATGTGCCATTGATCCAGCATGGTCAGAATATTTCATTTAGAGACACAAAGAGATAATTTGTGGTAAGGTCAGGGTTGTGAAAGTGCCCACTCTTGGGAAAGGGATCAAGACATTATAATCGAATTTGCCAATTTCATGGAGAAGTGCTTGCTCAGGATCAAGCACCCCTGGATAACCTCTCAGGCTTAGAGAGCTCCACAGCTAAAGTGATGCCTGGGCCATCATCAGGCTCATGCCAGTTTGCACACCTGTCAGGTAAGAAGGTCCTCAGCGTAACTCTATTGCACATGACTTTTAAGACAGCAACTCTATAGAGACAAGGCAAAGATTTAATCATTGACCCAGCTAGGTATCCTCCTTTGCTACCTCCTTTTGAAAGAGACATATAAGCTCAACACAAGTAACCAAACTCGACCAGATTACTGTAGACAGTTTAACTTTCTGAGGAAACGAGGCCAGGCACCTGGGTGATGTCCTTTGTTCCAGGGATTAAGTTATTCCAAAGGCTTTCTCTGAAGAAGGGATCCCTGTGAAAAAGAGGACAGCATGAGTGAACAAGCTGTCTAGTACCTCCCTAATTATGCTTTCTCATGCAATCGATTCCTCCACATATTGATGAAATGAGATACCTGCTAATGTGGAATCTGTCCAGTAGGCTGAGATAGAATGTCCTCCAGGACTGGTGCCAAGTTCAGAAACGGTACTTTTGATACAGTTTGGACATGCCTAACTTCATATCTCAGGTGGGAAAGAGTTTCTCATTCTCAATGATGGGTTTTCATTGCAAAGCTTGGTTATGGGGCATTTTGCCAGGTGGTTAACATGTGTGTGTTCTCACACCTTGAGTCCTGAAGAAAGGTGGTGGTTTAAAAAAGTCAGACAGTAATTTTTGACTTGTATGTCCCCTCTCAACAGGAGACAATTGGATTTTCTTTGCTCTGTGACACCATTCCAAGCTCTCTAAATTCTCAAAAGGTGACCAAATGAGGACATAGCCATTCACATCGTGAGACACAGATACATTGACTATTATTAAATGAGTCTGATTCTCTCTTTTCCTTAGAGAAGAACAAAAATCTATGCACCCTACATTTGGAAAAGAAATATGGGCCTCCAAGAACAGCATGCCAATAGCAACAAACGGTGCCTTTTCGTCCAGTTTCACCCAGGCCTTGAGAGAAAAACTGTACTCATTGGTAAATGTCCAGCTTCCCTCAATACCAAGGACTACTCACTGATTGACGACCCTTGGTGACTGGTAAACCATTGGTCATGACAACCAACTGCAGTCATGCACTCCTCTATGATGGTGCATGCCATACAGTCATGTTGAGCAGACTTTTCCACTGAAAGACACAAAGTAGGATGGGTGCTCTGCAAGGGATGCTACAATGTCCATGACCTGGGATGAGGATTAAAGTATAGAAATAACATATGGAATTTTTATGGAGGAGTATATCCACATGCGTTGCTCCACAAAGTCGCCTCCCATACTTCAAATTCTCCAGTACCAAACTCGATCATACCACCTGGACCATCATCTTCTTCCCCATGTTGGTTCCCACAACTGTCTCCTAGGCAGAGCCTCAGCGTCATGCCATTGTACATGATATTTAAGTCATTACCTCTCCTCAAGGCAATATAAAGTACTCATCATTGACCCAACAAAAGGATCAGACAGTCCCATATCCATTGCAAGGACAGTTATATGCTCACCATAAGTCAACCAGGAACAGTGTTTTGGAGAATTTTTTATTTTGAGAGAATTCGTGGTCAGTCACCTGGATGCAGTCCTTTGTTGATGGGATCGCAGCTTATTTCCAGGACAGCTTCTGGGAGAAAAGATACCAAAAAGGGCATGTCTAAAAGGAAAATGATACTTCCCCTGGAAGGCTGCCTCTCATAGACCTTTCTTCCAAATACATTCAGGTGAGAAAATACATTTCAGTCAAGACCTCTCTTTTGGGCAATGTCTGGTGATCCCCTTGGATCAGGAGCCAAAGAACACAGCATACACAGGGTTCAGGGTGATACATTTTGGATGCGTGTCCTCTCATATCTCAATTTGAAAAGAGGTCTACAGTGTAATAATTTTGTTTCTTGAGCAATATTTGGAATGTTTGAATCTAGCCTGCAGCTTGTTCAGTGAGTTTTCATTGCTTGAGCTTTCAAAAGTGTTGATAATTTAACAAGTGGATATCATATCTACTTCTTAGTTTGTGTCTGCTCCTCAACATGACTGCAGCACCCTGCACGTCTTTGCGTCAACATTCCACATTTCCTGAGCCATCAGAAGATATGCAACTAAGGCCATCATCTGGCACAAATTGAGCAAAGAATGCTTTTGGATGTATTCATGAGCCTGTCCCTCCAGGCTCTCTCATGCTCGACAGAATCCTCTTCTCCCTGAGGTTGCAGGAGACCCTGGACATCAGTAAACACCAAGCTGAGAGCATCTGAAGGCTCTCTTTGATCCAGCCTCACACAAGTCTCAAGAGAAAAAGTACTCATATTGGTTCAGAGTTCAGTTTGGCTCCAGAACTGAGAGTTCCCATGCCTCAATGGGTCGCAGGAACTTATGAATGATGTTCATGACTCTCAATCCCAGCCATGCTCTCCTCATTATGGTTCATTCCATTGATCTAATGTGGGCAGAATATTTCATTGAGAGACACAAAGAGAGAATTTTAGCTAAGGAAGGGGTTATTAATGTGCCCCACTTTCATGAAAGGGTCAAGACATAACAATCAAATTTTCCAATTTTGTGGAAGAGTGCTTCCTCATGGTTAAGCTCCCCTGGATGGCCTCTCTGGCTTAGAGATCTCCCCCAACTAGAGTGATGCCAGGGCCATCATCAGGCTCATGACAGTTTGCACATCTGCCACACTAGAAGGGCCTCAGCCTAACTCTATTGAGCATGACTTTTAAGACAATACCTCTCTAGAGACAAGGCAAAGTTTTAATCATTGACCCAATCAGACCTCCTCCTTTTCTACCTCATTTTGAAAGAGGCCTATAAGCTCACCACAAGTAACCAAATGGGACCAGATTACTGGAGACTATTTGAATTTCTGAGGACTTGAGGCCAGGCACCTGACTGATATCCTTCACTCCAGAGACTGATAGTTATTCCCAAGGCCTTTGCTGAAGAAGAGATCCCTGTGAAAAGGAGGAGGACAGCTTATGTGAACAAGCTGTCTAGTATTTCCCTAGGTATGCTGTCTCACACAAGCATTTACTCCACATAATGATATGAGCTACCGGCTTATGTGGAATTCCTCCTTTAGGCTGAGAGAGAAGATCCACTAGAACTGGAGCCATGTCCAGACAAGGTACTTTTGATGCAGCTGGGACATGCTGCCCTTCATATCTCAGGTGGGAAAGTGTTCCTCAGTCTCAAAGATGGATTTTTGTGGCAATGCTTGGTTATGCACCATTTTGCCAGCAGGTTGACCTGAGTGTGTTCTCCCATCGTGAGATCTCAGGAAATATGGTGGTTTCCAAAATTTTCACAGTGATTTTTGACTTTTGTGCCCCCTCTCACCAGGAGTACGGTGGATTCTTTTTGCTCTGTGCCACCATTCCAAACTCCCTAATACTCAGTAGACACCAAGCTGAGGACATGGCCATTCACATCGTGAGCCACAGATACCATTACTATTTTTAAATGAGCATGAATCTCTCATTTCTGTAGTGCACAACAAAACTCTATTCTCTCTCCATTTGGAAAAGAAACATGGGCCTCCTCGAATACCATGAGAGCCTCTGGAGGCTCCTTTTTGTCCAGCTTCACCCAGGTGTTGAGAGAAACCCTGCAGGTATTGGTGAAGGTCCAGCTTGCCTCCATGAGCAGGAACTCCTCAATGATTGATGAACCTTGGTTACTGGTAAATCACTGGTCATGACAACTGATCGCAGCCATGCACTCCCCTAGGAAGATGTATGCCATGCAGCCACACTGAGCAGAAGTTTCCACTGAAAGACACAAAGTGAGATGGGCTGCTCAGCAAGGGGTACTTAAAATGCCTAGGACTTGGGTTGAGGATTAAATAAAAAGGACAACATGGGGAAATTTTATGGAGGAGCATAACCACAGACTGATGCTCCCCAAGATGGCCTCCCTTACTCCAAGTTCTCCAGTATTAAAAACGATTATACTGCCAGGACCAACATCATCTTCCCCATGTTGGTTTCCACAACTGTGTCCTAGGCTGGGCCTCAGTGTCATACCATTGTACGTGATATTTAAGTCATCACCGCTCCTCAAGGCAATATAAAGTCCTCATCATTGACCCAACAAAAGTATCTGCAAATCCCATATCCATCGCAAGGACACTTATATGCTCACAAGTCAACCAGGATTATCGTTTTGGAGAATATTTCATTTTCAGAGGATCCCTGGCCAGCCACCTGGATGCAATCCTTTGTTGCTGGGATAGCAGCATATTTCCATGCCAGCTACTGGGAGAAAAGGAGCCAAAAAGCACGTGTCAAAAAGGAAACAAATACTTCCACTGGGATGCTGCCTCCCACAGACCTTTCTTCAAATACATGTAGATGACACAATACATTTCAGTTGGGACCTCTGTTTTCAGGCAATGTCTGGCGATCCCCAACGATCAAGAGCCAAAGAACACAGCATACATGGGGTTTAGGGTGATACATTTTATATGCGTATCCTCTCATATCTCAAATTGCAAAGTGGTCTACAGTGTAATAATTAGGTTTCTTGAGCAATATGTGAAATGTTTGAATCTTGCCTGCTGCTTGTAATCAGTGATGTTCCACCTCTTGAGGTTTCAAGAGTGTTGAGGATTTCACAAGTGGATTTTTTATCTACTGCTTAGTTTGTGTCCCCTCTCAACATGACTTTGGCACCCTCTACTTGTTTGCATCACCATTCCACACTCCCTGAGACCTCAGAAGATGCGTGACTAAGGTCATCTGGCAGAAGTTTAGAAAAATAATGCTTTAGTATGTATTCATGTGCCTGGCTGTCCAGTCTCTCACGCTCGACAAAATCCTCTTCTCCCTGAAGTTGGAGGAGACTCTTGGACCTCATGAAACACCAGGTTGAGAGCATCTGAAGGCTGTCATTGCTCCAGTATCATACGGGTGTCAAGGGATAAAGTACTTGTATTCATTCAGAGTTCAGTTCAACTCCAGAACTAATAGTTCCTTTGCCTCAGGGGGCCCACTGGATCTTATGAACTAATGATGGTCATGACAAGTAACCAAACATGATAAAATTACTGAAGACTATTTGACTTTCTGAGGACATGAGGCTGATATCCTTCACTCCAGAGACTGACAGTTATATCCAAGGCCTTCTCTGAAGAAGAGATCCCTGTGAAAAGGAGGAGGACAAGTTGTGTGAATAAGCTGTCTAGTACCTCCCTAGGTATGCTGTCTCACACAAGCATTTCCTTCACATAATGATGATATGAGCTACCTGTTTATGTGGAATCCCTCCATTAGGCTGAGAGAGAAGGTCCACCAGAACTGGAGCCATGTCCATACAGCGTATTTTTGATACAGCTGGAACATGCCACCCTCATATCTCAGATGGGAAAATGTCCCTCAGTCTCAAAGATGGGTTTTGTGGCAATACTTGGTTATGCACCATTTTGCCAGCAGGTTGACCTGAGTGTGTTCTCACATCTTGAGTTCTCAAAAAATATGGTGGCTTAAAAAAAGTTGCACAGTCATTTTTTACTTCTGTGCCCCCTCTCACCAGGAGTACGGTGGATTCTCTTTGTTCTGTGCCACCATTCCAAGCCCCCTAAGTACTCAGAAGACACCCAGCAGAGCACACAGCCATTCATATCGTGAGCCACAGTTACCTTTGCTATTACTAAATGAGCCTTGTTATCTCATTTCTGCAGAGCATGACAAAACTCTATTCTCCCTCCATTTGAAAAAGAAACATGGGCCTCCTCGAACATCATGCCTAGAGTATCTCGAGGCTCCTTTTTGTCCAGCTACACCCAGGCCTTGAGAGAAAACTGCACGCATTGGTGAAGTTCCAGCTTGCATCCACGAGCAAGAACTACTTTTTTTTTTTTTGAGTTGGAGTCTCACTCTGTTGCCCAGACTGGAGTGCAGTGGCTGCTCCCAGCCACCACAGCCTTGATCTGCTGGGCTCTGGCGATCCTTCCACCTCAGCCTTTCAAGTAACTGGAACTACAGGTGTGCACTACCACACCCAGCTGATTTTTTTTTTTGATTTATTGTAGAGATGAGGTCTCACTGCCCAGGTGGGTCTCGAACCCACAGGCTCAGGCAATCCACTCACCTCAGCCTCCCAAAAGTGCGGGATTACAGGCTGAGCCACCGAGCCTGGCTAAGAACTACTTTTTGATTGATGATCCTCGGTGACTGGTACATCATTGGTCATGACATCCAATTGCAGTCATGCACTCCTCTATGACAGTGCACGCCATGCTGCAATGATGAGCAGACGTTTCCACTGAAAGACAAAAAAGGAGATGGGATGCTCAGCAAGGGGTGCTAAAATGTCCGTGATTCAGGATGAGGATTAAAGTATAACTGTGAAATTTTATAGAGGAGCATATCCACATGATGGTGCTTCCCAAGATGCCTCCTGTAATTCAAGTTCTCCAGCACCCAACACAATCGTACTGCTGGGACCATCATCATCTTCCCCATGTTGGTTTCCACAACAGTCTCCTAGGCTGGGCCTCAGTGTCATGCCATTGTATGTGGTATTTAAGTTATCACTGCTCCACAAGGCAATATATATTCCTCATCATTGGGCCAACACAAGGATCAGCCAATCCCATATACCTCATAAAGACAGTCACATGCTCACCATAAGTCAACCAGGAACAGCATTTTGGAAAGTATTTCAGTATAGGAGGATTCGTTGCCAGCCACAGGGATGCAGCCCTTTGTTGCTGGGATAGGAGCTTATTTCCAGGCCAGCTTCTGGAAGAAAAGGAGACATAAAAGCCATGTAAAAAGAAAACTGATACTTCCACTGGGACGCTGCCTCCCACAGACTTTCCTCCAAACACATCCAGATGAGACAATACTTTTCAGTTGGGACATCAGTTTTTGGGCGACGTGTAGTGATCCTCATGAATCAGGAGCCAAAGAACACAGCATACACAGGGTTCAGGGTGAGATATTTTGGATGAGTGTCCTCTCATATCTCAATTTGCAAAGCTGTCTACAGTGTAATAATTGGGTTTCTTGAGCAATATTTGGAATGTTTGAATCCAACTTGCTGCTTGTAATCAGTGAGTTTTCACCTCTTGAGATTTCAAGAGAGTTGATGATTTCACAAGTGAATTTCATACCTCTTCTTAATTTGTTTCCCCCTTCAACATGACTGTGTCACCCTCTACTTTATGTGTCACCATTACACACTCCCTGAGACCTCAGAAGATGTTCAACTAAGGTCATAGTCTGGCACAATTTGAGCGAAAGAGTGCTTTAGTATGTTTCCATGAGGTTGGCTGTCCAGTTCCTGTCACACTAGACAAAATCCTCCTCTCCCTGAGGTTAGAGGAGACAATTGAACCTCATCAAACACCAACCTAAGAGCATCTGTAGGCTCTCTTTGCACCAGTCTCATATGGGTCTCAAGAGAAAAGCTACTCATATTGGTTCAGAGTTAGGTTTGGCTCCAGAACTGAGAGTTCCCATGCCTCAGGGTGCCCACAGGAACTTATGAATGATGATCATCACTCCCAATTCCATTCATGCTCTCCCCTAGGATGGTGCATGCCATGGAGCCAGCAAGGGCAGAATATTTCATTGAGAGACACAAAGAGAGAAACTGAGCTAAGGAAGGGGTTGTTGAAGTGCCCTACTTTTGTGAAAGGAGTCAAGACATAACAATCGAATTTGACAATTTTGTGGAGGAGTTGTTCCTCGGGTTTGAGCACCCCTGGATATCCTCTCTGGCTTACAGAGCTCCACAATTAGAGTGATGCCAGGGCCAGCATCAGGCTCATGTTGGTTTGCACATTTGTCATCTAAGAGGATCTCAGTGTAACTCTACTGAGCATGAGTTTTAAGACAACTCCTCTCTAGATACAAGGCAAATATTTCATCATTGACCCAGCTAGGAATCCTCCTTTGCCTACTCTTTTTGAAAGAGGCACATAGGCTCACCACAAGTGACCAAATGCCACCAAATTACTGGAGACTCTTTGACTATCTGAAGACACGAGGCCAGGCACCTGGCTGACATACTTCGTCCCAGAGACTGGTAGCTATTCCCAAGGCTTTCTCTGAGATGGGGTCTCTGTGAAAAGGAGGAGGACAGCTATTTTGAACAAGCTGCCTTGTACCTCCCTAGGTATGTCGCCTCACCCTAGTGTTTCCTCCACATAATGATGAAATGAGATATGTGCTCATGTGGAATTCGTCCAATAGGCTGAGTCCAAGGTCCAACAGTACTGGAACCAAATCCAGAGAACTTTTGATAGAGTTTGGACATGCCTCCCTTCCTATCTCAGGTGGGAAAGTGTTCCTCAGGTTCAATAATGGGTTTTAATGGCAAAGCTTGATTATGAGGCATTTTGCCAGCAGGATGACATGCGTGTGATCTCACATCTTGAATTCTCAAGAAAGATGGTGGTTTCAAAAATGTTGGACAGTTTTTTTTTTTATTTGTGGGCCCCCTCTTACCAGGAGTCCAGTAGATTCTCTATGCTCTGTGCCACCATTCCCAGCTCTCAAAGTACTCAGAAGATGCCCAGAAGAGTACAGGGCCATTCACATAGTGAGCCACAGGGACCTTTACTCTTATTAAACAAGCCTCATTCTCTCATTTCTGTAGAGCAGGACGAAACTCTATTCTCCCTCCATTTGGAAAAGACATACGGGTCTCCTCGCACAGCATGCCAAGACTATATTGAGATTTTTATTTTGATCCAGCTTCACACAGAACTTGAGAGAAAAACTGCATGCATTGGTGAAGGTCTAGCTTGCCACCCTGAGCATGAACTCCTTTTGGATTGATGACCCTCGGTGACTGGTAAATCATTGGTCATGATAACTGATCACAGCCATGCACTCTTCTACGATGGTGCATGCCATGCAGACATGCTGAGCAGAAGTTTCCACTGAAAACACAAATTAGATGGGGTGCTCAGCAAGTAGTGCTAAAATGTCCGGGACTTGGGATGAAAATTAAAGTACAAGGATAACATGGGGAAATTTTATGCAGGAGTATATTTACATGGTGGTTTCCCCAAGATGGCCTCCCGTACTTCAAGTTCTCCAGCACCAAACACGATCATACTGCCGGGACCATCATCATCTTCCCAATGTTGGTTTTCACAACTGTCTCATTGGCTGGGCCTCAGCGTCATGCCATTGTATGTGATATTTAAGTCATCATCACTCTTCAAGGCAATATAAACTCCTCATCATTCACTCAAAGCAAGAATCCACCAATCCCATATCCCTCACAAGGACAGTCACATGCTCACCAAAAGTCAAACAGGAACAGTGTTTTGGAGAATATTTCATATTGAGAGGATTCATGGCCAGCCATCTGGTTGAAGTCATTTGTTTCTGGGATAGCAGTTTATTTCCATGCCAGCTTCTGGAAGAAAAGAAGTCATAAAAGACATGTAAAAAGAAAACTGATACTTCCACTGGGATGCTGCCTCCCAGAGACCTTTCCTCCAAACACATCCAGATGAGACAATACATTTCCATTGGGACCTCTGTTTTCGGAAGACGTCTGGCAATCCCCATGGATCAGGAGCCAAAAAACACAGCATACACAGGGTTCAGGGTGATACATTTTGAATGCATGTCCTCTCATGTCTCAATTTGCAAAGCGGTCTACAGTGTAATAATTGGGTTTCTTGAGCAATATTTGGAATGTTTGAATCTAGCCTGTTGCTTGTACTCAGCGAGTTTTCACGTCTTGAGCTTTCAAGAGAGTTGATGATGTCACAAGAGGCTTTCATATCTATTACTTAGTTTGTTTCCCCTCTCAACATGACTGTGGCACCCTCTAATTTTTTGCATCATTATTCCACACTCCCTGATACCTGAGAAGTTGCTCAACAAAGGTCATAGTCTGGCACAATTTGACTGAAAGAGTGCTTTAGTATGTTTCCCTAAGCCTGGCCTCCAGTTTCTGTCACACTTAACAAAATCCTCTTCTCTCTGAGGTTAGAGGAGACACTTAGACCTCATCAAACACCAGGCTGAGAGCATCTGTAAGCTCTCTTTACATCAGTCTCATATGGGTCTCAAGAGAAAAGGTACTCTTATTGGTTCACAGTTCAGTTTGGCTCCAGAACTGAGAGTTCCCATGCCTCAGGGGGCTCACAGGAACTTATGAATGATGGTCATGACTCCCAATTCCAGACATGGTCTCCCCTAGGATGGTGCATAACATGAAGCCAGCCTGGGCAGAATAGTTCATTGAGAGACACAAAGAGAGACATTGAGCTAAGGAAGGGGTTGTTGAAGTGCCCCGCTTTTGTGAAAGGGTTCAAGACATAACAATCGAATTTGGCAATTTCATGGAGGAGTTGTTCCGCAGGGTTGAGCCACCCTGGATGGCCTTTCCAGATTAGAGAGCTCCACAATTAGAGTGATGCCAGGGCCAGTATCAGGCTCTTGTCAGTTTACTTAACTGTCATGTAAGAGAGTCCTCAGCATGAATTTACTGAGCATGACTTTTAAGACAACAGCTCTCTAGATACAAGGCAAATATTTCATCATTGACCCATCTAGGCATCCACCTTTTCCTCCTCTTTTGATAGAGACCCATAGGCTCATGACAAGTAACCAAAGTTGACTAGATTATTGGAGATTATTTGACTATCTGAGGACATGAGGCCAGGCACCTGGCTGACATACTTCATCCCAGAGACTGGCAATTATTCCAAAGGTGTTCTGTGAAGATGGGATATCTGTGAAAAGGAGGACAGCTTTTTTGAACAAGCTGCCTTGTACCTCCCTAGGTATGCTGTCTCACACAAGCGTTTCCTCCACATAATGATGAAATGAGATACCTGCTCATGTGGAATCTGTCCACTAGGCTGAGACCAAGATCCACCCAGACTGTAGCCAAGTCCAGACAGGGATCTTTTGATAGAACTTGGAAATGTCTCCCTTCATATCTCAGGTGGGAAAGTGTTTCTCAGGATCAATAATGGGTTTCCATGGCAAAGCTTGGTTATGGGGATTTTTGTCAGCAGGATGACATGAGTGTGTTCTCACATCTTGAGTTCTCAAAAAAGATGGTGGTTTCAAAAAAGTTGGACAGGTTTTTTTACTTGTTTGTCTCCTCTCAACAGGAGTCCAGTCAACTTTTACTGCTCTGTGCTACCATTCCAAGATCCCGAAGTACTCAGAAGATGCCCAGCAGAGGACATGGACATTCACATTCTGAGCCACAGATACTTTAACTATTATTAAATTATTCTCATTTCTGGAGAGCAGAACAAAATTCTATTCTCCCTCTATTTTGAAGAGAAACATGGGCCTCTTCAAACAGCACCCCAAGAGCATCTTGAGGCTCCTTTTGTCCAGCTTCACCCAGACCTTGAGAGAACTCTGCACACATTGGTGAAGGTCCCCCTGAGCAAGAATTCCTCATTGATTGATGACCCTTGGTGACAGAAAAACCATGGTTATGACAACTGATAGCAGCTATACACTCCTATGCAATGGTGCTTGCCATGCCGCCACACTGAGCAAAAGTTTCCACTGAAAGACAAAAAGTGAGAGGGTGCTCACTAAGAGGTGTTAAAATACCCAGGACTCGGGATGAGGATTAAAGTTTAAGGATAACATGGGGAAATTTTATGGGAGAGCATATACACATGGTTGTGCTCCCCAAGATGGGTTCCCTTATTTCAAGTTCTCCAGCACCAAACATGATCGTACTGCCGAGACCATCTTCATCTTCTCCATGTTGGTTTCCACAACTGTCGCTTAGTCTGGGCCTCAGTGACATGCTATTATACGTGATATTTAAGTCATCACCACTTTGTAAGGCAATATAAAGTCCTCACCATTGATGCAATACAAGGATCCGCCAATCCCATATCCCTCATAAGGACAGTCATATGCTCACCAAAGTCAACCAGGAACCGCGTTTTGGAGAATATTTCATTTTCAGAGGATTTGTGGCCAGCAACCTGGTTGCAGTCCTTTGTTTCTGGGATAGCAGCTTATTTCCAGGCCAGTTTCTGGGACAAAAGGAGCCATAAAGGGCATGGCAAAATTAAATGAATACTTCCACTGGGATGCTGCATCCCACAGACCTTTGCTCCAAACACATCCAGATGAGACAATACATTTCGGGTGGGACCAGATTTCTGGTGACGTTTGGTTATCCCATGGATCAAGAGTCAAAGAACACAGCTTACAGGGTCCAGGGTGACACATTTTGGATGTGTGTCCTCTCATATCTCAATTTGCAAAGCGGTCTGCTGTGTAATAATTGGGTCTCTTGAGCAATATTTGGAATGTTGAAATCTAGCCTGCTGGTTGTAATCAGTGTTTTCACCTCTTGAGCATTCAAGAGAGTTGATGATTTCACAGGTGGAGTTCATATCTACTTCTCAGTTTCTGTCCCCACTCAACGTGACTGTGGCATGCTCTGCTTTGTGTGTCACCATGCAACACTCCCTGAGACCTCAGATGATGCTCAACTAAGGCCATAGTCTGGCACAAGTTGAGCAAAAGAATGCTTTAATATGTATCCATGAGCCTGGCTGTCCAATTTCTCTCACACTGACAAAATCCTCTTCTCTCTGAGGTTAGAGATGACACTTGGGCTTGATCAAAAACGAGACTGAGAGCATCTGAAGGCTCTCTTTGATCCAGTCTCATATGGGTCTCATGAGAAAATGTATTCATATTGGTTCAGAGCTCATTTTGGCTCCAAAACTGTAAGTCTCCATGGCTCAGGGTTCCCACAGGAACTTATGAATGATGGTCATGACTCCCAATCTCAGCCATGCTTTCGCCTAGGATGGTGCATGCCAAGGAGCTGCATGGGCAGAATATTTCATTGAGATATGAAGAGAGAATTTGAGGTAAGGAAAAGGTCCTTAACATGTTCCGCTTTTGTGTAAGTGGTCAAGACAAAACAATTGAACTTGCCAATTTCGTGCAGGAGTACTTCCTCAGGGTTGAACACCCCTGGATGGCCTCCTTGGCTTAGAGATCTCCATGACTAGAGCTACGCCAGGTCCAAAATCAAGCACACGGCAGTATGCACAATTGTCAGATAAGAGGGTCTGCAGCGAAACTCTATTGAGCATGACTTTTAAGACAACACTTTTCTAGAGACAAAGCAAAAATTTCATCATTGACCCAGCTAGTCATCCTCCTTTGCCACCTCCTTTTGAAAGAAGCCCACCACAGTTAACTAAATGTGACAAGACTACTGGAGACTATTTGACTTTCTGAGGACATGAGGTCAGGCACCTGGATGACATTCTTCATCCCAGAGACTTACAGTTATTCCCAAGGCCTTCTCTGAAGATAGGATATCTGTGAAAAGGAGGAGGACTGCTTGTGTGAACAAGCTGTCTAGTACCTCCCTATGTGGTTTTTCCATATAATGATGAAATGAGATACCTGCTTACTTGGAATCCATATTGTAGGCTGAAACAGAAGGTTCACCAGGACTGGAGCCAAGTACAGATGGTAGTTTTGATACTGCATGGACTTGCCTCCTTTCGTACCTCAAAGGGGAAAGTGTTCCTCAGTCTCAAAAGTGGGTTTTCATGGCAAGGCTTGGTTATGGTGCATTTTACCAGTAGGTTGACCTAAGTGTGTTCTCATATCTTGAGTTCTCAAGAATGATGGTGGTTTCAAAAAGTTGGATAGTCATTTTTCACTTGTGTGCTTCCTCTCACCAGGAATCCAGTGGATTCTCTATGCTCTGTGCCACAATTCCACACTCCCTAAGTACTCAGAAGATGCCCAGCAGATTACATGGCCATTCACATCGTGAGCCACAGATACCTTTGCTATTATTTAACAAGTCTGATTCTCTCATTTCTGTAGAGCTGGACAAAACTCTATTCTCCTTCAATTTGTAAAAGAAACAAGGACCTCCTCAAACAACATGCCAAGAGCATCTTGAGGCTCCTTTTTGTCCAGCTTCACACAGGCCATGAGAGAAAATCTGCACACATTGCTGAAGGTCCAGCTGGCCTCCATGAGCAAGAACTCCACATAGATCGATGACCATCATCATGACAACTGATTGCAGCCATGCACTCCTCTATGATGGTGCTTACTATGCCACTATGCTGAGCAGAAGTTTCCAGTGAAAGACACAAAGTGAGATGGGTGCTCAGCAAGGGGTGCTAAAATGCCCAAGACTCAGGATGAGGATTAAAGTATAAGGATAACATGGGGAAATTTTATGGAGAAGCATATCCACACATTGGTGCTCCACAAGATGGCCTCCCATATATAAAGTTCTCCAGCACCAAATGAGATCGTACTGCTGGGATCATCATCATGCTCCCCATGATGGTTTTTACACCTGTCTCCTTGGCTGGGCCTCAGCGTCATCACCGCTCCTCAGTGTGATATAGATTCCTCATCTTTGACCCACACAAGGATCCACCAATTCCATATCCCCCACAAGGGCAGTCATATGCTTACCCGAAGTCAACCAGGGACAGCATTTTGAAGAATATTTCATTTTCAGTGGATTCATGGTCAGCAACCAGGTTACAGCCCTTTGTTGCTGGGATAGCAGCTTATTTCCAGGCCAGCTTCTGGGTGAAAAGGAGCCATATTGGGCGTGTCAAAAAGGAAACTGATACTTCCACTGGGATGCTGCCACCCACAGACCTTTCTTCCAAACATATCCAGATGAGACAACACCTTTCATTGGTACTTATGCATTCAGGCATCGTCTGGCGATCCTCATGGATCAGAAGCCAGAGAAAACAGCATACACAGGGTTCAGGGTGAGGCATTTTGGATGCGTGTCCTCTCATATCTCAATTTGCAAAGTGGTCTACTGTGTAATAATTAGATTTCATTAGCAATATTATGAATGTTTGACTCTAGCCTGCTGCTTGTAATCAGTGAGATATCACCTCTTGAGTTTTCAAGAGAGTTGATGATTTCACAGGTGGATTTCATTTCTACTTCTTTTTTCTGTCCCCTCTCAACATGGCTGCGGCACACTCTAGATTTTGCATCACTATTCCCCACTCCCTGAGACCTCAGAAGATGCTTAACTAAGGCTTACTTCTGGCACATGTTAAACGAAAGAATTCTTTAGTATGTATCCATTATCCTGGTTGTCCACTTTCTCTCATGCTTCACAGAAACCTCTTCTTCCTGAGGTGAGAGGAGACACTTGGACTTCATCAAACACCAGGCTGAGAACCTCTGAATGCTCTATTTTCTCCAGTCTCATACAGGTCTCAAGAGAAAAGGTAATCCTATTGGTTCAGATTTCAGTTTGGCTCCAGAACTGAGAGTTCCCATGCCTCAGGGGGCCCACAGAAACTTATAAATGATGGTCATGACTCCCAATCCCAGCCCTGCTCTTCCCTTGGATGGTGCTTGCCATGGATTCAGCGTGGGAAAATATTTCATACAGAGGCACAAAGAGAGAATTTGAGCTAAGGAAGGGGTTGTTAAAGTGCCCCACTTTTGTGAAACAGGTCGAGACATAATAATCAAATTTACCAATTTCATGGAGAAGTGCTTCCTAATTTTGAGCACCTATGGATGGCCTCTCCAGCATTGAGAGCTCCACGACGAGAATGATGCCAGGGCCATCATCAGGCTCACATCAGTTTGCACAATTGTCACATAAGAGGGTCCTCAGCGTAACTCTATAGAGCATGACTTTTAAGACAACTCTTCTCCAGAGAGAAGGCAAAAACATCATCATGGAACCAACTAGGCATCTTCCTTCTGCACCTCCTTTTGAAAGAGTCCCATAGGATAACCACAAGTATCCAAATGCGACCAGATTACTGGAGACTATTTGATTTTCTGAGAACACAAGGCCAGGCATCTGGGTGATGTCCAGCATCCCAGAGACTGATAGTTATTTCCAAGGTCTTCTCGAAGATGGGATCTCTGTGAAAAGGAGGAGGACAGCTTGTGTGAACAAGCTGTCTAGTACCTCCCTAGGTATGCTTCCTCACAAAAGCAGTTCCTCCACACAATGATGAAATGAGATACCTGCTCATGTGGAATCCATCCAGTAGGCTGAGACAGAAGATTCACCAGGACTGGAGCCAAGTTCAGCCAGGGTAATTTTGATACAGCTTGGACATGTCTCCCTTCATATCTCAGATTGGAAAATATTCCTCTCCCTTAAAAATGGGCTTTCATGGCAAAGCGTGATTATTGGGCATTTTTCCAGCAGGTTGACATGAATGTGTTCTCACATCTTGAGTTCTCAAGAAAGATGATGGTTTCAAAAAAGTTGCCATCATTTTTCACTTGTGTGCCCCCTCTCAACAGGAGCCAGGGAAATTCTTTTTCCTCTGTGCCAGCATTCCAAGCTCCCAGAGTACTTAGAAGATGCTCAGCAGAGGACATGGTCATTCACATTGTGAGCCACAGATACCTTTATTGTTATTAAACTAGGCTTATTCTCTAATTTCTGTGGACCTGGACAAAACTCTATTCTCCCTCCACTTAGAAAAGAATCATAGGCCTCCTTAAACAGCAGGCCAAGTGCATCTCGAGGCTCCTTTTTGTGCAGCTTCACACAGGTCTTGAGAGAAAAACTGCATGCATTAGTGAAGGTTCAGCTGTCCTCCATGAGCAGGAACTCCTCGTTGATTGTTTATCCTTGGTGACTGGCAATTGATTGGTCATGACAACCTACTGCAACCATGCACTCCTCTACGGTGGTGCATGCCATGCATTCACACTGAGCAGAATTTTCCGCTGAAAGACACAAAGATGCGGTGCTCAGCAAGGGCTGCTGAATACCTGGGACTGGGGATGAATATTAATGTATAAGGATAACACCTGGAAATTTGATGGAGGAGCATATCCACATGGTGGTGCTCCTCAAGATGGGCTCCAGTACCTCACATTCTCCAGCATCAAACATGATCATACTGCTGGGACCATAATAGTCTTACACATATTGGTTTCCACAAGTTGTTTTCTAGGCTGGGCCTCAGCGTCATGCCATTGTACATGATATTTAAGTCATCACCACTCCTCAAGGCAATATAAAGTCCTCATCATCAACCCAACAAAAGGACCCACCAATCCCATATCCCTCATAAGGACAGTCATGTGCTCACCACAAGTCAACCAGGAATAGCATTTTGGAGAATATTTAATTTTCAGAGGATTTGTGGCCGGCAACCTGGTTGCAGCCCTTTGTTTCTGGGATAGCAACTTATTTCCAGGCCAGCTTCTGCAAGAAAAGGAGCCATAAAGGGCATGTCAAAATTAAATGGATACTTCCACTGGTATGCTTTCTCCCACAGACCTTTCTCCCAAACACATCCAGATGAAACAATACATTTCAGTTGGGAACTGTTTTCGGGTGACATCTGACGATCCCCATCAATCAGGAACCAGCGATCACGGCATACACAGGGTTCAGGGTGATACATTTTGGATGTGTATTCTCTCTTTTCTCAATTTGCAAAGTGGTCTACTGTGTAATAATTGGGTTTCTTGAGCAATATTTGGATTGTTCGGCTCTAGGCTGTTGCTTGTAATCAGTGAGTTTTCACCTCTTGAGCTTTCAAGAGAGTTGATGGTTTCACAAGTGGATTTCATATCTACATCTCAGTCTGTGTCCCTGCTCAACATGACTGCAGCATCTTCTACTTTTTTGTCACCATTCCACACTCCCTGAGACCTCAGAAGATGCTCAACTAAGGCTATATTCTAGCACAAGTTGAGTGAAAGAATGCTTCAGTATGTATCCATGATCCTGACTGTCCACTTTCTCTCACCCTGACAAAATTCTCTTATGCCTGAGGTTAGAGAAGACACTTAGGCCACGTCAAACACCAGGCTGAGAGCATCCGAAGGCTCTTTTTGCTCCAGTCTCATGCAGGTCTCAAGAGAAAAGGTACTCATATTAGGTCAGAGTTCAGTTTGGCTCCAGAGCTGAGAGTTCCCATGGCTCAGGGTGCCCACAGGAACTTATGAATGATGGTCATGACTCCCAATCCCAGCCATGCTCTCACCTAGTATGGTGCATGCCATGGAGCCAGAATGGGTAGAATGTTTCATTAAGAGACACAAAGAGAGAATTTGAACTAAGGGATGTGTTTTTAAAATGCCCTCCTTTTGCAAAGGGGGTCAAGAGACATATCAATCGAATTTGACAATTTCATGGAGTGCTTTCTCAGGGTTGAGCACCAGTGGATGGCCTCTCTGGGTACAGACCTCCATGATGAGAGTGATGCCAGGGCCATCATGAGGCTCATGTCCGTTTGCACAATTGTCACATAAGAGGGTCCTCAGCGTAACTCTATTGAGCATAACTTTTAAGACAACACCTCTCTAGAGACAAGTCAAAGATTTCCCCATTGACCCACCTAGGCATCCTTCTATGCCTCCTCCTTTGGAAAGAGGCCTATAGACTCACCACAAGTAACCAAACATGACCAGATTACTGGAGACTGTTTGACATTCTGAGGACACAAGGCCAGGCACCTGGCTTACATCCTTCATCCCAGAGACTGACAGGTATTCCCAAGGCCTTCTCTGAAGATGGGATCTCTGTGAAAAGAAGGACACCTTGTGTGAACAGTCTAGTACCTCCCTAGGTATGCTGCTTGACACAACTGGTTCCTCCAAATAATGACAAAATAAGATACCTGCTCATGTGGAATCTGTCATGTAGGCTGAGACAGAAGGTCCACCAGGACTGGAGCCAAGTCCAGACAGGGTACATTTAATCTAGCTTCAACATGCCTCCCTTTGTATCTCAGTAAGGAAAGTGTTCCTCAGTTCAAAAATGTGTTTTCATGACGAGCTTGGTTACAGGGCATTTTGCCAGCAGTTTGACATGAGTGTGTACTCACATCTTGAGTTCTCAAGAAAGATGGTGGTTTCAAAAGAGATGGATAGTCATTTTTGACTTGTGTGCCCCCACTCACCAAGGGTCCGGTGGATTTGCTTTGGTCTGGCCACCATTCCAAGTTTTCTAAGTACTCAGAAGTCACCCAGCAGAGGACAGGGCCATTCACATCGTGAGCCACAGATACCTTTACTATTATTAAGTGAGACTGATTCTCTCATTTCTGTAGGGCAGAAGAAAACTCTCTTCTCCCTCCATTTAGAAAAGAAACATGGGCATCCACGAACAGCACACCAAGAGCATATCGTGCCCACAATTTTCCATCTTCTTGCAGGCCTTGAGAGGAAAACTGCACACATTCGTTAAGTTCCACCTTGCCTTCATGAGCAAGAACTCTTCATTGTTGATGACCCTCAGTGACTGGTAAATAAATGGTCATGGGAACCGATCACAGCCATGTACTCCTCTTCAACAGGGCACGCCATGCTGCCATACTGAGCAGAAGTTTCCAATGAAAGACACAAAGTGAGATGGGGGCTTAGCAATGGCTACCTAAATGTTTGGGACTTGGGATGAGGATAAAGTATATGGATAACATAGGGAAATTTTATGGAGGAGAATATACACATGGATTCATATGACTCCCATTCTTCAAGTTCTCCAACACCAAACACGATCGTACTGCCAGGACCATCATCATTTTCCTCATGGTAGTTTCCCCAACTGTCTCCTAGGCTGGGCCTCAGCGTCATGCCATTGTACATGATATTTAAGTCATCTCTGCTCCTCAAGGAAATACAAAGTCCTCATCATTGACCCATCAAAAGTATCCACCAATCCCATATCCATCACAAGGAAAATCATAGGATCATCACAAGTCAACCAGGAACAGCGTTTTGGAGAATATTTCATTTTCAGAGGATTTGTGGCTAGCCACCTGGTTGCAGCGCTTTGTTATTGGAATAGCAGCATATTTCCAGGCCAGCTTCTGGGAGAAAAGGAGCCATAAAGGGCATCTCAAAAAGGAAACTGATACTTTCTCTGGGATGCTGCCTCCCATAGACCTTTCCTCCACAAACATCCAGATGAGACAATACATTTCTGTTGGGTCCTCTGCTATCAGGTGACATCTGACAATACCTATGGATCAGGAACCAAAGAATATACCATACACAGGGTTCAGGGTGAGACATTTTGGATGCCTGTCCTCTCATATCTCAATTTGCAAAGCAGTCTACTGTGTAATCATTGGGTTTCTTGAGCAATATTTGGCATGTTTGACTCTAGCCTGCTGCTTGTAATCAGTGAGATTTCACCTCTTGAGCATTCAAGAGAGTTGATGATTTCATGAGTAGATTTCATATCTACTTCTTAGTTTGTGTCCCCACTCAACATGACTGCCACACAGTCTATTTTTTTGTGTCACCATTCCACACTCCCTGAGACCTTAGAAGATGCTCAACTAAGGACATGGTCTGGCACAAGTCGAGTGAAAGAATGGTTTAGAATGTATCAAGTTTCTGTCCCACTCGACAAAATCCTCTTATCCCTGAGATTAGAGGAAACACTTGGACCTCAACAAACACCAGGCTCAGAGCATCTGAGGGCTCTCTTTGCTCCAGTCTAATACAGGTTTCAAGAGAAAAGGTAATCATATTGGTTCAGAGTTCAATTTGGCTCTGGAACTGAGAGCTCCCAAGCCTAAGGGGGTCCAAAGGAACTTATGAATGATCACCATGACTCTCAATCCCAGCCATGCTCTCCCCTGGGATGGTGCATGCCATGGTGACAGTGTGGGCAGAATATTTCATTGTGAGACACAAGAGAGAATTTGTGCTAAGGAAGGGATTGTTCACCTGCCCCACGTTTGTGAAAGATGTCAAGACATTACAATCAAATTTGCCAATTTTGTGGTGGAGTGCTTCCTCTGGGTTGAGCACCCCTGGATGGTTTCTCTGGTTTAGTGAGCTCCAAGACTAGTGGGGTGCCAGGGCCATCTGAGGCTCAAGTCAGTTTCCCCAATTGTCACATAAGAGGGTCCCAAGTGTAAGTATATTGAGCATGACTTTTAAGACAACACATCTCTAGAAACAAGACAAAGGTTTTATCATTGACCCAACTAGGAATCTTCCTTTGAAAGAGGTTCATAGGCTCACAAAAAGTAACCAAACATGACCAGACTACTGGAGACTATTTGACTTTCAGAGGACACAATGCCAGGCACCTGACTGACATCTTTCATCTGAGAGACTGACCCTTATTCCCTAGTCCTTCTCTGAAGATGGGATCTCTGTGAAAAGGAGGACAGTTTATGTGAACAAGCTGTCTAGTACCTCCCTAGGTATGCTGCCTCACACAAGCGGTTCTGCCACTTAATGATGAAATGAGACACCTGCTCATGTGGAATCCTTCTTGTAGGCTGAGACCGAAGGTCCACCAGATCTGGAGCCAAGTCCAGGCAGGGTACTTTTGATACAGCTTGGACATGCCTCTCTTCATATCTCAGGTGGGAATATGTTCCTTAGTCTCAAAAATGGATTTTCGTGGCACAGTTTGGTTATGAGAAATTTTGTCAGCAGTTTGACATGAGTGTGTTCTCACAGCTTGAGTTTTCAAGAAAGACAGTAGTTTCATAAAAGTTGAACAGTCATTTTTGACATGTGTGCCCCCTCTCACGAAGAGTCCGACTGATTGTCTTTGCTCTGTTCCACCATTCCAAGCTCACTCAGTACTCAGATGACGCCCAGCAGAGGACAGGGCCATTCACATCGTGAACAAAACAGATACCTTTTTATTGTTAAATGAGGCTGATTCTCTCATGTAGTAGAACAGGAAAAAACTGTCTTCTCCCTTCCTTTGGAAAAGAATCCTGGAACTCCTCGAACACCACACCAAAGCATCTCAAGGCTCCTTTTTTTTCTGTCTTCCCTCAGGCCTTGAGAGAAAAACTGCATGCATTGGTGAAAGTCCAGCTTGCCTCCATAAGCAAGAACTCCTCATTAATGGATGATACTTGGAGACTGGTAAATCATTGGTCATGAAACACAATCGCAGCCATGGATTCCTTTATGATGGTGCATGCCATTCAGCCATGCTGAGTAGATGTTTCCAATGAAAAACACAAAGTGAGATGGGGTGCTAAAATGCCCGGGACTCAGGATGAGGATTAAAATCTAAGGATAACATGGGGAAATTTTATGGAGGAGACTATCCACTATCTTCAAGTTCTCCAGCACCAAACATGATTGTACTGCTGGGACCATCATAATCTTCCCCCATGTTGGGTTCCACAACTGTCACCTAGGCTGCACCTCAGCATCATGCATGAAACTCTAGTCATCATCGCCCATCCAGGCAATACAAAATGCTCTTCACTGACCCAACACAAGGTCCCACCAGTCCCATATCCCTCACAAGGAGAGTCATATGCTCACCACAAGTCAACCAGGAACAGCGCTTTGGAGAATATTTCATTTTCACAGAATTCATGGCCCACCACTCATTGCAGCCCTTTTATACTGTGATAGCAGCTTATTCCCAATCTACTTTCTGAGAGAAAAGGAGACACAATGTCATGTTAAAAATGATACTGATACCTCACATGGGATGCTGCGTCCCACAGACCTTTCCACCAAACAAATCCAATTGAGACAATATATTTCTGTTGGGCCCTCTGCTTTTGGGTGACATCTGGCAAGCCCCATGGACCAGGAGCCAAAGGCACACCATACACAGGGTTCAGAGTGATGCCTGTCCTCCAATATCTCAAACTGCAAAGCGGTCCACTGTGTATTAATTGGGGTTCTTGAGCAATAATTGGCATGTTTGACTCTAGCCTGTTGCTTGTAATTAGAGAGATTTCACATCTTGAGCATTCAAGAGAGTTGATGATTTCACAAGTGGATTTTATATCTACTTCTTAGTTTATGTTCCTTCTCAACATGACTGCTGCACAGTCTACTCTTTTGTGTCACCATTCCACACTCCCTGAGACCTCAGAAGATGCTCAACTAAGGCCATAGTCTGGCACAAGTTGAGTGAAACAATGGTTTAGTATGTATACAGTTTCTGTCTCGCTCGACAACATCCTCTCATCCCTGAGGTTAGAGGAGTCACTGGGACCTCATCAAACCCCAGTGTGAGAGCATCTGAAGGCTCTCTTTGCTCCAGTCTCATAGGAATTTCAAAAGAAAGCTACTCATATTGGTTCAGAGTTCAATTTGGCTCTGGAACTGAGAGTTCCCAAGCCTAAGGGGGCTCACAGGAACTTATGAATGATGGTCATGACTCCCAATCCCAGCCATGATGGTGCATGCCATGTTGCCATTGTGTGCAGAATATTTCATTTTGAGACACAAAGAGAGAATTTAAGCTAATGGAGGGGTTGTTAACCTGCCCCACATGTATGAATGGTTTCAAGACATTATAATCAAATTCGCCAGTTTTGTGGTGGAGTTCTTTCTCTGGGTTGAGCACCCCTGGATGGTTTTTCTGGCTTAGATAGGTCCACGATTGGAGTGGTTCCTGGGTAATCATCATGCTCACATCAGTTTGCACAATTGTCACGTAAGAAGGTCCTAAGCATAACTATATTGAACATGACATTTAAGACAACACATCTCTAGAATCAAGGCAAAGTTTGATCATTGACCCGGTTGGGAATCTTCCTTTGCCACCTCTTATTGAAAGAGGC